GACGGGGGATCAATTGCTCCAAGTTCATTTCCTTTCGCTTATGCTTAAGGTAGTTCTTGAAATCCTTCCAAGCCGGCGGCAATAAATGGATAATTGACGCCACTTGGAAAGACTCACTAACTGTCATTCCTTCATCTCGAATTTCGTTGAAGATCATTTGCATTTCTTCAACTTGACTCAAGACCGTCTTCGAATCCACCATTTTAAAATCAAGGAATCGACCGACAACAAATTTCTTTGCACCGGCATCCTCACTCTTATATTTGTGGTCCAAAACATTCCATAACTCCTTAGCCGTAGCTAATTTGCTATGCACGTCGTACAAAGCATCATGCAGCCCGTTCAACACGTAGTTTCGGCAAAGGAAGTCAGAATGCTTCCAAGCTTCAACCGCGTTGAAAGATTGCGCATCCACCTCACCCCCGGTTACTACCGGCGCATCTTCGGTCTAGAATCTAGCAACACCGAGAGTAGTGAGGTAAAAGAGCATCTTTTGCTGTCACCTCTTGAAGTTTAACCCATTAAATTTTTTGAGTTTCTCCACAGAGTTGCTCGGCACGGTCACCATAGGGATAGCCCTTTGGTTAACCAAAGCAGATGCACTGCGTTGTGAACTATTGTTCACCGGAGCTCCGCTTTCACAGTGATTATCGCTCAAGCCGTTTAAAGCATTCTGCCCAACAATATTTTCATTTTCTTGAGAAGTCATTTTCTTACGTTATTCGAAAACACAAAAAACAAGTTTGTTCGCCAAGGTGACAAACTACAAGTTTAAGATTGTTTACCGTAGTAGAACAATCACCGAGTACGTTTTAAGATTGTTGGGTGTGCTTCGAAAAATAAAGAAAAATTAATTAATAAAATTAATTAAATAAAATGACAAAAGAAAAACAAGAAATGAGATGGAGCATAATTTAGTCAAAGCTCGTGCTACGCACGATTTCCTTAAAATGTATTTGTTGCCTCCCGGGATGCTAGGAGCGTTGCAAGAATCGTTTCCCGGGATACGATGACTAATGAGCTATTCGTTGAGCACTCAACCGAATAGTTCCGGCGAACGTGAACAAAGCAAGAACAGGGAAGGAATTTTCAGAATGCTAGCAAGGGTTTCGAGAGCTCAAAGGTGCGTGAGTTCGTTTGTGAGTTGTGTCTTCGTTGTAAATTACCTGCCAGTTACTTATAGGAAGGATTTGGAGGTGTGTTAATGGAGGTTTAATGGATATGAACGTTGGTAATCAATGTCCAGCTCGTTGGTACTGATTCGTCCAGAAAAACGTCCATTTATTGCAAACGTTGGTATCTAGATGGTAACTTGCCGTAACTTGTCCCTGGCCCTTTGCATGGTTTTATCATGTGGTCTATCGCCCTACCACTCCGGATAGTCGTGCATAAGGTAATTTCATGTCTAGAATATCCACAGTGGGAACATAAGAGTCCCGATTTATCAACTTTTATGGATTTCCCACGTCCTTGCCCGGAAGTTTGCATCATGAAACCCATGTCTTATTTTGCATCCTTCACATGAACAAGTGAACAACACCACGAACACATTCTTCCTGGGTCACTTGATGATATGCTCCATTCAAGCTTGGAAGTGATACCTGAGACACTAAATTAGAGTGCAACTGACCATACAAATCAGATGACAACCCCATCAAGGATTGATGAAATCATTCTTATTCCTGTCTTTGAGCGCGTGATTCCACCGAATTGCAAGTACATCTTCCACAAGTACATTGCAGGAGTGGTTTGTAATTATTTAATTCGTCCCACAACATCTTTAGACGTCCATAATAAGACAGAAGTCAATTGCTCACACCTCGCAAATCGCTCTTTGAGATCATCCTTAACAAGTATGGTGTCATCGTGTTTGGAAAGAGTAGGTGTGATTGTATTTGTAATCCACGACACAAGCATGGAGTGAATCATAAACCAACCATATCTTTGTAATTCACAACACAAGCTTCACTTCAGATCATACCATATCTTAAAAAATTCAAATCTGAAACATTCAAATCAAACGAACAAAACAATTCCTTAATCAAACAGTAATGGAATCTTGTGTTTATTACGATATAGTTGAAGAGAAGTGGATAATCAGAGCCGGCTTTGGTGGGAGTTGCCCAAGGCAATTGCCTAGGGCCTCCACTTTTAAGGGACCTCATCTTATAATTTCTTTTGTAAAAATAACATCTAAATAAATAACATAATAATAAATAAATAAGTAAGTAAATAAATAAATAAATAAATAAATAAATAAATAAATAAATAAATAAATAAATAAATAAATAAATAAATAAATAAATAAATAAATAAATAAATAAATAAATAAATACTAATGAAATTAATAATGACATAAATGAACATTAATATATACTACCTTTGAATCACTTGAGTTTGTTAACTCTTTAAACTAAGTGATTCGCCATGCTTATCTTTTGAAATAATTACATATTTATGATTACAAAGAAAATTATTTACAAAAATGTGACTAGTGACTATAGTACTAACTTAATCATAGTAACTTATGTTCAATTTTTAAACGTAAGTGACCACACACTATAGTGTAGTAACTATTAATCATATTTGTGTAAATAAATTTTAAAGTAGTACGTAATAATATTTGCGAAAAAACTCTAAATTTTAAGAGACACGTGAAAGGTCTAAATTTAAGTCTAAATGTTATAAAATTTGTTCTTAACTAATGCTACATTGTTATAAAAATTGTCTTTATGTTTTCATTAATTAATAAGAAAGTGATTACAATGTACTAAAGTTATTATAATTGATTATAAAAAGTTTTTCATTTCTAAATATGGTATTTTTAGGGGGAAACATGTTTTTAGTCCCTGAAATAGTCACCTATGTAGCACCGATAGGGGTACGCGGAAACTCGGAAACACGGAAATGGGTACGGGGATACGACAAAACCAAAAAAAGTTGGATACGGATACGGGGCCATATTTATAAATATTAAAAGTTACGGGGTTGTATTTATAAATATTAAAAGTTACAAGGGTGTATTTATAAATATTAAAAATACAATTTTTTTATAAATAAAATAGACATATATTACCTTCTGACGTCTAGTGATTCATTATATTGAAGCATTCTACATTTTCAAAATACTTAGAAATAAGTTCATATTTTATCTCATATATACTAGTGCACCTCGAAATATAAATATAGTCAATAAGTCAAAAATTAAAATGAGAAATAAGTAAAACAACGACAATTTTGAAATTAAAAGTGCAAGTACTCAAAGTTCTAGAATAATGAAGAAAGAAAACAATATTTTAAAAGTTCTAATACATATTTCCGTTTGAGCTATTAATTTCCAGGGATAATTAGAATTAGGGATAGGAGGATGAGTGAATTCGGAATAGGCCCATTAGTTGTGTATCACATAAAAGCAGGGTAAAAATTATTTTTAGTTTTTCATTTTTTAAGAAATTTATTATGTAAATTTTGAGTATTTTTTCAAAAAGTTTTTTTTGGAAGATTTTGTTTGAAAAAGTTGATACGAGTATCCGTCAGGATACGAGTATCCAAAATTTAAAATAATTACCAAAAAATGGAAACTTTTAAAAATTACAGATATGACCCGAGAACATACGGTACGGGTATTCTAGAGTATCGGATACGGGAACGTTTCCCATACGCCGGTACGCCACCCTAGTGAAGTATCTGTGCTTCATAGATAGTCACCATATTGAAATTTCAGACTCCTATTTCCGAGTTTATAAATGTCACCCCTCAATTGTCCAAATTGGTGTAAATGGGATCCTTTGAGCGTTGAAATGTACAAAGTGGGCGAGGAGTACATTTCACCCTTCAAAAGACCAAATTTACAGCAATTTTGACAATTTAAGGGTGGCATTTACAATCTCGGAAATACGGATCTGACATTTCATTATAGCGACTATTTCAGTGACTGAAAGTACAATTTTCCTTTTTTAAAAAAAAATAATAATTGAATCTTTCTCAGAACTTCAAAGAAATATCGTATAATTTGCATTATTTATTCGTATTCATTTGTGTTCATTGTTTAGAAATGCAACTTTATATAGATTATTAGAAAATAGATAATGTTTTGTATTGAGGAAAAAGAAATTTAGCTAAATTGACTCTTTTGGTCAATGATAGTCGATTTTGGATAACTCCGGTAACTTCAGTTATGATATTTATGTAAAATTTTATATTTTTATGCAAGTAATTTTAAGTAAGACTTTTTCCATATGACTTTCGTAATTCATTTCTTAAATAATTTCTTATTGAAAACATCATGGATCAAGACAATCATTGACTAAGAAAATTCAACATGAAAATATTATATCAGCATGAGAAAGAATATATTTTGTAACTATTTCTTTTATTCCTTTTGGGTAATTCTTATTATGGTGCTCTTTTGTCTAGGACCACACATTCCTCAAGCCGGCCTGTGGATAATTAGTGAGTTTGGCATAAGGATCATGATTTCTATTACAAAAATGCTATTGCTACCCCATTTTGTGCTCACCCCCTATGTTTGTGACTCACAAATGCACTTCATTAAAATGGAGCAATTCATTTAGAGCCCGTTTGGAGAACTCTGTTTTCGGCTTATCAGGCTTATCAGCCAGCTTTTTCACCAAACACGTAACTTTTACTTTCGCGCGCTGAATTGTGTAATAAGCCGAAAAAGTAAGGTTGGAGTTACTTTTCTGGCTGTATTGGCTGAAGTTACTGTAGAGGACCATTTTAGCTATTTTTACATATAATTTTTTCTTTAATTTATTAATAAAATATATTTTTAAAATATTTTTTTCTTAAATCAGCAGAATCAGCCAAAACAGCCACTCCAGCCAGAATATCATAAATTTCAGCAGAATCAGCCATAACAGCCGATTTTGGTGCTACCAAACGGGCTCTTAATGTGTTAGACTTTTGTGAGTCACACAAATAGAGTGGGGCACCAAATGGGTACAAAATGGGATACTTATAGCAAAGTTGTTTCTATTATATCAACACAGGCAATTTCTTTTTCAAAAAGATAACAATTACAACTACTAGGTTGTTAGCAAGAAAGTCAAAAAATGACTTCTTAAAATCTGACAAGATAAAGAGGGTCACGCTAAAAGACTCCTCTATTTCAAGATCATTCCAGTCCCCACATTGATAACATAACATTTCACAAGAGGCATCTCACCACAACCTGAACTAAAGTTATTACATAAATACCCTTAATTAAAATGGCAGCTACTAAATGAGAACATTACATAACTGAACAGGTTCCTGGGTTCTCCTCACTGGATACGTTGACAGCAGACTGATCATTAGCGGGGTGGTGGTAGTGGAGGTAGGGGTCCACATATGTGGGGTATGGAGGTTGACATTGACCATAGTTGTAGTAGTAGCCAGTGGATGGAGGGATGAAAGGGGACCTATTGTGCATCATCTGGGCTTGCATTGCAGCATTCCTGTTCTGCATGTTCATCATCACTGATGAAGGGTGGTGATGATACCCACCAGTATGGTGGCCTGTCCCTGCCATTGAAACTGGGTAATGGCCACTTTGCCCTTGGGCAAGAATGTTTTGGTTTGGCTGCACCAGGTGGTTATTTCCCTGGGCTGCTGCCAAGAGTGCAGCAAGATGATGGTTTCCATCATCACCACCACCACCATTGTTGACATGGAAACCTGCAAGATTCATCATGGCATTTATGTCATTTCCACCACCCATCATCTTCCCCCCTTCAGCAAGACTCATCCTCCATGCAGCCAATGTTTTCTCATCAATCCCTCCTGGATTATTGCTACTACTATTATTATTTCCCTTTTTAGTGTTCACATTTCCACCATTATGGGAAGCAGCAGCAGCTAAATTCTTAGCATTGTTAGCCTGAGCTCTCTGATGGTTGAGAAAAGCGAGCTGTTGAGCAGCCTGTTCTCTGAAAAACCTAAGCTCCTCCACACCATACTCTTCTCCTCCTGCTTCCATCTCATCACACTCTGCCAAGAATGGATAATTGGTGTTGATCTGCTGCTGCTGGTTCTTCATAGCTTCAAGCTGCTTCATCAGAACCTGCTGCTTTTGGGCTTTGCTGTTATTTTGGTTGTTGGTGTTCTTGGGTTCATTTGCATTGTTGTTGGGCTTTTGCCTCTGGTTCTGGTTGGGCTTTGGATTGGACCAAAGCTCAGCATGCTTCCCAGAACTGATCAGTTTCTTGATCAGTTTTGGCGCTTCTACACTCCCATAAACTGTCACTTTCTGCTGGTCATTGTCTATATTGACCTGGTAAACTCCTGTTTTTTAACAAGTAACGGGTAAGGCAGATAATTTGACAAGAACTCGCAGATAATTTAAAGAACTAAAAGATCAAGTTCACTGATAGTCAAACACCTGATTAGTGGAAATGCGTATGTTATGATCTAATTTAGGAATTTGAAAAAAAAAAACATAATAAAATGAAGCAAACAAACCTTCATCAGCGTTGGGCTAATGTAACTAATCCAGAAAATTACAACTATAGCTTTAGCCTATAAATTTACATATCTTGGTTCGTATAATATGTTTTTAAATCTCAGAGATAATGTACACAATCTGTGTTGATGAAATGGGTTAAGGGTCTTATTGCTCTCTGGGAATATTCTCACCGCATTGTTCTTGATACTACCAAACAATGATGTTAGAAAATTTAAAGAAATGCTTATAAAAAACACTAACCGTATACTATAAGTCTATAAGTATCAGGTTATGTTTTACTCATCATCCTTTTTGAATTTTATAAAATACATAAGAACATTGGATTTCGGAAAACTAACTCTATAAATTTCACTTCCATACGAACATTAAAACATTTAACCACTTTCAGACTGATAAGGCTTAAGATTTCTGGAAGAGTGGAAGTAAAGCTATCAAGCACTATGAAACATGACAAATTTCAAGTAAATGGAAGAGCATTGGTGAAACTGACCAATGAGGGAAATGGGAACTGGAGACAACAATGTAGAAGACATTAACACACAGAAAGAAGAACAAAGCAAAGGGATTTGGGGGACCTTCAATTTTCTGCAGAATCTTCTTCACTTTCTGCTTACACCCATCACAATGTATGTTCACTCTCAGCACACATGTCTGTAATAAAAATGGATAAGCTTAAAAAATAACAAAAGAATACTTTTAATTTAAAGAAGGCAACTTTACAGTCTCTACTGCTAGACTCAAGAAAACAAGCACAAAAAGTTGGTCTTTTAAGAGACACACCTGGATCTTGAGTAGCTTAAAGTCTTCATCTTTAGTCATTTTCTTCAGCGCTGTTTGGAGTAAATTCAAAGATCACTGGTTCAAAGCGGTTGCAAAATAAATTCTCTTTTCTCAATAAAACAAACACTACAAAGTGTAGAATGCAAAACAAGGGTTCATCCGAATTTAAAGGCTAGTGGGGCCACGCAACGTTCTGATTTAAACGTCACAAAGCAGCAAAGATTCCATCTTTTATGAAATATCTTTGAATTCTTTGGGTTTTTTTGCCAGAAACAAACAAGAGGTAGTTCATGACTGCCAATGGTCTAAATGCTTTAAATAAATGCAAAAGACAAAGTGGGGGGAAAACCCACAAAAGACTTACATGAAAAGGGAAGAACTCAGAGAGCAATTAAAGCCTGAGAAAGTTGAGAGTAAATGCAGTGAAAATGTTGGGGAAGAAAGATAGAAAGAAGGAAAAGGAGAGAGGGTGGTCTGCTGGGGCAGTAGGGGGTTACATTTATGTTCTTGGTACATCCCCAACATGAAGTGTGTGTTCGAAGATTCAATTTTGGGATAAATTATGTTTATTACGGAGTAAAATATAAACATATAAGTAGACCGGCATTTAGAGCTCGTTTGGTGACATTTAAATTGATTGAATCCGTTTATTTTGCTGAAACTTGTTAAGTTCTGACTATATTGGTGATAAAAAAAAAACTGGCTATATTGGCTGATTATACTTATTTATGAAAAAAATTGTATTTCAAATACATTTTATTAATAAACTAAAGAAAAAATTATATGAAAAAATAACGAAAATAGTCATCTAGAGTAACTTCAGTCAATACAGGCAGAAAAATGATTTGAACCTTGTTTTTTCTTATTATTACACAATTCAGCGTGTAAAATCAAAATTTACGTATTTGGTTAAAAAGTTGGTTGATAAGTCGAAAAATAGAGTCACCTAACGGGTTCTAAAAGTTTAAATGTTTTCTTATTAAAGTTAAGAGTAATTGGTACTTCCTCTGTCCCATAAAATAGTTCACGCATTGACTTGGATCGGAGTTTAAGAAAGTGGGAGTAAAGTGGAAATGTATAATTGTGGTTGAGTAAGAAAAATATAAATGAACGTGAGTCACACAAAACTTTCCAAAAAGGGAAATGAGAACTATTTTTTGGGACGGAGGGAGTACATATAATCTATTTTGGAAAAAAATATACATAGTTTATTACGGAGTATTAAATATTAATCTACTTTGAAATATTAACTTGTAGATTTGCAAAAGCGAATTTATAAATAGCTACTCCCTCCGTCCCCAAACAAGTTCCACATATTAAGAAAAACACGTTATTGGGGGTAAATTTTACTGTTTGGACACTGTATTGCACTGTTTTGCACTGTTTTATTGTGGATAATTTGCTAAATAAGGACAGGGGAACTTAATCCAGGGATTGCCCAAAAAGGAAATGAGGAACTTGTTTGAGGGTCGGAGGGGGTATTAAATATGGAGTATCTTATTATCTACTTGGTTATAATAACGATGCATACTCCTTCCGCCCCGAAATTAACTTCCCACTTTTCTTTTCGAAAAGTCCCGAAATTAACTTCCCACTTTCCTTTTTGAACAGTCCCGAAATTAACTTCCCACTTCTTCCCACTTTCTTATTTGGCAAATCATCTACATCATCTATTCTAAAAATCGTTCTAGGCGTCCGACTAGTCCCCGCCTAGGCGCTAGGCGGTGGTCGGGCGCCCCGATTTTTGTCTAGGCGCTCCGATTAATTGGTTTGCCGTCTAGATGAATTAGTCGTCCGCCTATGGCGCCTAGTTGCCCGCCTAGAGCGCCTAATAATTGGATCGGAGTTTAAGAAAGTGAGAAGAAACTTGGATCGGAGTTTAAGAAAGTGAGAAGAAAGTGGAAATGTATAATTGTGGTTGAGTAAGAAAAATGAAAATGAACGTGAGTCACACAAAACTTTCCAAAAAAGAAAATGGGAACTATTTTTTGGGACGGAGAGAGTACATATAATCTATTTTGGAAAAAAATATACATAGTTTATTACGGAGTATTAAATATTAATCTACTTTGAAATATTAACTTGTAGATTTGCAAAACCGAATTTATAAATAGCTACTCCCTCCGTCCCCCAAACAAGTTCCACACTTCCACATATTAAGGAAATAACGTTATTGGGGGTAAATTTTACTGTTTGGACACTATATTGCACTGTTTTGCACTGTTTTAATGTGGATAATTTGCCAAATAAGAACAGGGGAACTTAATCCAGGCACTGCCCAAAAAGGAAATGAGGAACTTGTTTGAGGGTCGGAAGGGGTATTAAATATGGAGTATCTTATTATCTACTTGGTTATAATAACTGTGACACCGCACCCGAATGTCCTTGGAAATTTGATTTGAATATTCATAGCTTATGTATTGGATTTCCGATTCCCAAACATTTTGTAAAACGATCAATGTTCTACGTAGTGCATGGTTGAATATCGTACTGTTCAAACTCGTACATTAGTGTCGGGTTTCGCAAATACTTACTCGGGACTTATTAATAAATAAAAAGGCCCAATATTACCTAAATAGTGAAAGAATGATTAAAGGAGAATACAAATGTCTATAACCCCATCTTTGGCATTATTGAGCTAAATAATGAGAGTAGGATTTTCCTTCTAAAATATCCATCAAGTAAATTATTGGGATGAGCCTACACATATTGGAGATCAATAATGTGATTTAGGAAGTTGACTTGTTCTAAATAAATTAGGATGAGTACAAAAAGACATCTTTGACAAAGATAAAACAATAGGACCCATCTTCCCATTTTTGGAAGTATTGGTAGATATTTTGGACCCCAAATTTAATGGGATCAATTGGGAACCACTCCACATGATATTAGTACCTGCAAAACAAATAAAAATGGGTTAGAAGACCTACCTTGGCCGGCCATAATGGAGGGGAGCTGCACATGACTTGATAGGAATCAAAGCTTGGGCCACCATCCTTATTTTCGCACAAATTGGTGTGCTGTTTGTCTCCTCTCATTATAGAAGCTATACTCGACCAAACAACGTGAATAATATGTCCTTGGATAGACTTTGAAGTCTATTATCTCAATCGAGTGGTCTTTGTTCGAGGAGAGAAGGCTTATCTTACAAAAATCGAGCTGGAACGAGCAGAGGTCTGTGAACTCGAGCTGTGAGAGTGCTGAGACTGTTTGGTCGATATCTCGAGTTTTACAAATCCAATTAAGGCGTGTGAGATACCCACAGAAAGCTCTCAAGACGAGGAATCCGTGAAGGTCTGGTTTGCAGGAATCGGAGTTGTGTAAGGCTTCCAAATTGTCCGAACAAAACGCAACCTCGCAGAACACAGTTTTGTATTCAAAGTAAGTTTGAATCCAAAACCTTCCTTTTCATTTTCCAAATGATATGAACGATTGGTGGGACTATTATACACTACTAGAAGTGTATAATATGTCCTTATGAAGTTATTTTATTGATGTAAAGGTTAGATACTAACCTAGAGCAAATCTTGGAAAACTAGGAAACGAGTTAACCGGAAAACACCCGTTCTAGGGACTGTTTTCGTGTCATTCGGTTAGGAGTGGAGCTGGCAGCTGGAGGAGGCTGTTTAACACTCATTTCTAAGCAAGGAATCAGTTCTAAATCAACCTTGACCAAAGCCTTGACCATTGGATCAAGAAGGAAAAGTTTAAAGCTCAATTAAGGTGAGGATTGACATCTAATTGCTTACAACTTGTAGGTTAAGCATGAGATTACCTAAATGCTTAAATCATGATTTTTCATGGATTATGATGATTATATATTGATGAAATATTGATATAGTTGCCAAGGAATGAAATTTGAAATGATTTGAGAAGGTATGAATAATATGAGATTAAATGAGTATAAATGAACTATTTTGTGAAAATGGGCATTTTGCTCATGTATGAATTATGTGGATACATAAAGGAATATTTGTGTATTGAGATTGAATACTTAAGTTGCTGCTACATAATTATAAATATGTAGAGAATTACAAATAATGAGGATAATGGTATGATAACAATAATCTTAATAGTATTGAAATACTAGTTAGTGATTATTGGAACTTGTTGATTAAATTGATCCTAGGGATTGGATTGCATGAAAGGTACTTGAATATAGTTCAAGTGTATATAATAACTTAGTTTGGAACTAAGGTTAAGTTATGGGAAGTCTTTAAGGATGACCCAAAGTAGTTTAATGATATGTCAATTCTAGGCATAGGATTGCTTGAGAATTGGACCTTAATGCATGGTGATGTAATAGAGCCGAGCTCTAGAATGCATGTAAGGTGTAGACTTGGAGTCTATGTATTGTATAGCTAGAGCCGAGCTCTAGGACTTGCGTGGTGATGTAATAGAGCCGAGCTCTAGAACGCAAGGTAAGGAAATTGACCCGAGGTATATGAATTGTATGGTGATGTAGTAGAGCCGAGCTCTAGAATACAATGTCATGTACTAGGGTTGGACTCTAGGAGTTGTCGTGGCTTATGGTCACGGGGTTGGGAATGGTGATTTCCAAATGAACATGGGCCCACGGGCCGACTACTTGACTTTTATATAAAGTAAGTATATTTTTAAACGGGGTAACTTAGGGTTACAATCATAATGTACTATCACCCTATTTGAGGGTCTTGTGTTTGAAATACTTGTTGTATATCTATTAGATGCCTGCCACACCAGCACTTTATAGCCCTATAGAGTGCTGACCCCTTCGGGGGCGTCCCACCACCATTTTTCAGGTTGAGGCTAGAGCTTGCTTCCTGTGCTCGTTGCTCGAGAGATCATATAGGAGGGAAGACTTGGTTCGTGCTTCCTCCATTCTGTTTTAGAACATTAATAAACATGCTCATGGATATTTTACTTTAGAGCCTGCGTGCTCATGTAAGCCCTGTGTGGCCCTTTTGGTTTTAAACAATGTTTTCCGCTGCGTATTGAATTGTTTATTATGTATGTTTATGGATGACTTATGTGTGAATGATATTCATGACGCCTTGTATAATATGAATGTGTTGGACTGCGGTTGGCTATTCGTATTGTACGGCGGGTTGTTGACGTGTCCGGGGAGGTCCGGGGCGTGACAATTAAGTTTGTATCAGAGCCTTAGTCCATAAACTTCATAATGAAGTCTCAAAATTCTCTTTTTGAAAAGATTTTGAAAACCATGAGCATAGAAGTTTTGTACTTGGAGAGCTTTTGGTACTTGGGTTGCAAGGTCTCTAATTGTTAAGATGGTACCCTTAGCAATTGGTATGGCGGTGACTCGAGCCAAAATGTGTCTTAAGTACCTATCCGTCAATTGACATTTGATACGAGTCTAACGACTCTTTCCAAATTCTTTCAGAAATGGACCGTGGTGGCAGGATTACTAGGAGAAACCCTGTGACAACCCGAAAATTTAAAAAAATAAATAAATTTATTAGTCAGATAAAATGTTACGAAAGTCAATAAAAATGTTTCAATAATAAAAGTGACATTTTTATAATAGATGTGTTGACTAGGTAGGACTTTGACTTAAAACATTAAAGTGACATTTTAAAAAAAATTATTTTAAAAGTATCGGTTATATAAAGTATACACTAAAAACCAATTTTATCGATAATAATAACAATTATAGAAGTGTTGACCTTCCCAACCTAAAATGTTCACACGTATTAATAAATCCAAGCATGCAGTATAGTTTCACTACATAAACATGTACACATTTATATTTTCAAAAGTCACAAAGCATAAACCATGCGGCCATGCCCAAGTCAGTATAAGAAACGAAGGGTGCTTATTCCACGCACATGTTCACCGGTCGGAACCGATCTAATAAGGCCAATATACTCTGTAGTTCGCAATACATAGGCACATGTATTTGCAGTACTCTGCGTGGAAGGTACGAATAAGGACCATATACATGCATGCGATCCAGAAGGGCGACCCACTCATATGCTAATCCTCATGATGCCAAGAAAACGAACTACGTGTATCTCTCTGCACCAAGAGGACTTCAGTGACTGCACATTTATATATACGTACATACTAACCTTGCGAAACCATAACTAGAGAACAACTTCACACACCCGCACATTTCTCTGCGACCTGTTATCTGAGTTGTGAGTAAAAGAGAGTCATAATAAGCGGATCAACTCCTGAGAAGCTAGAGAAGGAGTATGCCGGAGTGTTGTAACTAGAATAGCCGGACTGGTTCTCTATGCCGGATGATGCAAGATTGTTGGGGACTGCCCTGACTCCAGATGGCCGGCTATTTACGAACAAGACAGAATGAAAACTCAGTGCGCCGGAGAAACCTGATGACAGCAACCCCGACCGCCGGAGAAGAAGAGCCTTTCGCCATGCCGCCAATCGCCTGAGGGTCTGCCGCCGTGTATTGCCGGAGGGGGAAAACCGTCTGGGCTAGCTTCCGTCACCGAGGAGAGTGCCGCCGATCTCCCTGCGTCGCCAGAACTGTTTTACGAAGAAGACGGCGACTCCCTGCATAGGTAATTCATACACTACGTATTATGATGATTAGGCCGGAAACTTATTTTAAAATGGGCTGGTTTAGTGATGAAGGATAATGGAAGTACTGATGAGTTAATAACAAGGCCGAAGAACTAATATATTATGATATATGTTGGCCGCTAGGTATTACTCCGTAGTAATTAATAACAATAATAATACACTGGGCTGGAAATACTATTATAACTGCATTGCTTCTAATATAGTTACGGACTGTTTAGACTGGTTCGAATATATGGACTGGCCGAAATTAACAGTAATTGGGATGATTATAGTAATGATGATAATACTAAATATAATTCTGATAATGTTAGAAATAATAATAATAATAATAAGAGTTCTGTTAAGTTATAAATTGATGATATTCACTTTTAAAGAACCTGTCACTTTTAAATCGGGATAATCAAATGGAGTAAGAAGATTATTATGGAAATAAATGAATAATCATAGAAGGATTAAAATCTAAAACTGGATAATAATTAGCAAGGTGGGATAGTTACTAATTAAAGAATGTTAATATTCTTAGAAGGTGATTTTTGTGAAGATTGAGGTAGAAGCTTCGTTTAGGATTTACCGCAATTTGAGGTAAGTACTATGTCAACCAAATTTCATGCTTTTCCCATATAAATATATTTGTGACTAGTTATTTGAGATCATTTGAGTATATGATAGTTAATGAGATTTTACGTATCAATTGTGATTGTGAATTATATATATTTGAGATTTGCGTATTTTATATTGGGTGATATTTTGAGCATTTGAATTTACATTTGAATTTACATATGAATTGTTATTTGATTGAGATTTGAAATTTGAGCTATTTATGAAGTATCCTATATTTTGGACTATTTATGGTATATTTGAGTATGATGAGTTGGAGTTAATAATTTTATTGTGAATAATTTTGTGGAATTCGGATTTCATATCCATTTTGATTGAGGTTATGATACTTGAACTTTGAGGTTGAATTATGATTTTGTGAGTACTCGGAGAAATGTGGATTTGGTGAGTGGTAATGACTATAAGTCTAATTCCACCAGAGATCTCCCAAAAGCGGAGCATCCCAGCTTAATTGTAGTAGTCGGTAGAAAAATCCCGACTACTCGGACTTTTTACTACCCGGAGAGCTTGGAATCTCTTTTAGGGGGTGTGCACACTTAAGGTAGGAGTTCGGCTTCCATTGAATTTGGTTGAGTTTGAATGATTGATCTTGAGATGATTTGGATTATTTGGTTGGACTTGATGGAGATGAATTGAATTACATTATATTGGATTATTTGAGTGAGTTATATTTGTTTGGATTGGATTGAATTTGATGTGGTTGAGATCATTAAATTATTTGTAGGTTTTCAAAGTAATACTTATTAATTTGATTTGATATGGTTACGTTGAATATTGATTATGAGTATTATTTGGAAGTATTTTGAGATGAATATTTGGGCTTTACATATGATTTATGTTTTGGAATATAATTACGAGGATTTTGGTGGTTTACGTATATTGACCTTTTAGAATTATTATGATTTGGAAATATGTACCTATTTTTGGAATATTATTATTTTACATGCGATTTTGTGATGAGAAGTTTGTATAAAATGTTTTATGAGGTTTCCTCCCAAATGTTTTCACAAAATGATATATATGTATCAAACATGATTATTTTACAGGGTTGGGTGGGCCTTACTTAGCATTTCCAGCTAATTTTTGTTTCTTTGTGTTTTTCTTTCTGTACTTTATTTGTGCAGGAATTGAGGATCATATTGAAGTTGATTTCGAGAGCTTCCGCTAGAACACATAGACTAAAGTGATCGAGTAATTTATTTTAGTCTTAATTTTAAAGAATTGTAGTTGAACAATTAAATATGGAAAATTTTAATTTGTTGGTGGTGGATAGCCTGTGCACCCGGTTATGTGAGAGCCGAGTGTGGCGGTAACGCCCCTATTTCCCTTTGAATTTTCCGCTGCATAATTCTGATAAATCATTATTTAAATGTATTTTTGGGTGGGAAATTTGGGGGGTGTTACAAATTGGTATCAGAGCCTTTTCTTTTCTAAAATGGGGTTTTCAAACATTTTTTCAGATTTTTTTTCTCTATTAAGTGATACCAACAAGTTGGTATCAGAGCCTTTGATTTTTTAAATGGGGGTTTTCAAATAAAAGTTTTTCCTAAAGTGACTATGGTTTAAAAAAAAAATAGTTTCGAACATTTTTTTTGACTTTCTAAAACTTCAATGAGTAATACCAACAAGTTGATATGAGAGACTTTGATTTTCTAAAATGGGGTTTTTAAACAATTTCTGAGATTTTCTTAAACTCCCTTAAGTGTATCAAAGCCTTAATATTTTCCAAGGGGATTTTTGTAAAATGCTTTTCTGAAATACTAAGAAATTAATTTACTAGGGAATAAGTAAGAACTTCTAGGACCGCGGTGAGAATGTGAGATTTTGAATTTCTATTTTGGTGGAGTTTGTGGTTCTTTGAATTGTTTGAGTTATACTTATATGAGATATACTTACCAAATTATGTGAATAGTGAGTTATTAGGTAAGGTAGTGTAATTGTGAATATCATTCGATATACTTCGTGTCGTAAACATTATTCTTTCAAGTAGACAATGAAGTCAACAAGAAACAAAGTAGAAGACAATGTCGTCGCACCAACAAATGCGGAGTTGGCTCAAAATATGGTTCAATTCATCCAGACCATCGGGAGTGTGCTAATTCAGAACCAACACCAACAACGTCTCAAAAACCGCAATGATGTAGCGAAACTTGTAGCGAAGCGCAATCCACCGTGTTATCTAGGCCAAGAAGATCCTCTCATCCTTGAAGATTGGATTCGCACTTTCGACAAACTTTTCGACGCTATAAACTGCCCTGCAGATCAACGAATTAATACGGCTGCGTACTATCTACGTCAAGAGGCGGACAATTGGTGGGCCACGACTGCCCCAACGTTGCGTCAACAACCTAACTTTTCTTGGGAGACGTTCAAGGAGGCAATGCGAAAAAGATTCTGCCCAGAGCACGTGAGAGCTGAGAAGTATGAAGAATTTTTACACCTGAAGCAAATAGGCATGACTGTCCAAGAGTATCACGCTAAATTCTTGAATCTCGCACGATTTGCACCCACGCTAGTTTCCGATGAAATCGAGAAAACTAACAAGTTTATACGTGGTCTAAACTTTGAGACACAAAAAGCTCTTTGTGTTTCAGAATGCCAAACGTTGAACGATGCCTACAACAAAGCTGGCAAACACTATCGAGTGCAACAACTCCAGGAGAAAACACTCAAGAGAGAAAGGAAGGGCACCGAAGAAGAAAACAGACAGGGAGGCAAACGGCACACGCTAGATAATGCAGGGGAGACCCGAAACGGGAACAAGATCAACAACCAAGGCCAAGGCCAGAAGCGTAAGAAGAAGAACTCAACTAAAGACATGCACTTCTACTGCTCGAAATGTGGAAAAGATCACCCCGGGAAATACTGTGACGGAACACTCGTACGATGTTTTCATTGTGACAAGCTTGGACATAGGGTGTTCGAGTGTCATTCAAGGAAGAAGGGAATCCCTCCAACTCGTGGACTCAATCATCATGGAAAGAATGCAAAACACAATGGAAGAATCCGAAAATAGTAGGCAAAATCATATAAAATTTCTAATTTTCAATATTAATACATATGTTTGATGATTGTGTTTCAATTTGATCTTGAATGAATAATCTATTCTCTTAAGTAAATTAAGTGCTTCGGGGACGAAGCACTCTTTTAAGGAGGGTAGAATGTGACACTCCTTAAATTTAAAAAAAAAACAAATTTAATATTAACTAAGATGTAATATCTGCTAATTGTACATGTGGATATTTTCTTAACTTATGCTTCGGGACGAAGCATCTTTTAAGGTGGGTAGAATGTGACACCCCGGAAAATTTAATAAAAAGATTTAATATTAACTAAACATGTGATACCACACAATTGTAGTTGGGATATTTTTCTTAGCTTATGCTTCGGGACGAAGCATCTTTTAAGGAGAGTAGACTGTGACAACCCGAAAATTTAAAAAAATAAATAAATTTATTAGTCAGATAAAATGTTACGAAAGTCAATAAAAATGTTTCAATAATAAAAGTGACATTTTTATAATAGATGTGTTGACTAGGTAGGACTTTGACTTAAAACATTAAAGTGACATTTTAAAAAAAATTATTTTAAAAGTATCGGTTATATAAAGTATACACTAAAAACCAATTTTATCGATAATAATAACAATTATAGAAGTGTTGACCTTCCCAACCTAAAATGTTCACACGTATTAATAAATCCAAGCATGCAGTATAGTTTCACTACATAAACATGTACACATTTATATTTTCAAAAGTCACAAAGCATAAACCATGCGGCCATGCCCAAGTCAGTATAAGAAACGAAGGGTGCTTATTCCACGCACATGTTCACCGGTCGGAACCGATCTAATAAGGCCAATATACTCTGTAGTTCGCAATACATAGGCACATGTATTTGCAGTACTCTGCGTGGAAGGTACGAATAAGGACCATATACATGCATGCGATCCAGAAGGGCGACCCACTCATATGCTAATCCTCATGATGCCAAGAAAACGAACTACGTGTATCTCTCTGCACCAAGAGGACTTCAGTGACTGCACATTTATATATACGTACATACTAACCTTGCGAAACCATAACTAGAGAACAACTTCACACACCCGCACATTTCTCTGCGACCTGTTATCTGAGTTGTGAGTAAAAGAGAGTCATAATAAGCGGATCAACTCCTGAGAAGCTAGAGAAGGAGTATGCCGGAGTGTTGTAACTAGAATAGCCGGACTGGTTCTCTATGCCGGATGATGCAAGATTGTTGGGGACTGCCCTGACTCCAGATGGCCGGCTATTTACGAACAAGACAGAATGAAAACTCAGTGCGCCGGAGAAACCTGATGACAGCAACCCCGACCGCCGGAGAAGAAGAGCCTTTCGCCATGCCGCCAATCGCCTGAGGGTCTGCCGCCGTGTATTGCCGGAGGGGGAAAACCGTCTGGGCTAGCTTCCGTCACCGAGGAGAGTGCCGCCGATCTCCCTGCGTCGCCAGAACTGTTTTACGAAGAAGACGGCGACTCCCTGCATAGGTAATTCATACACTACGTATTATGATGATTAGGCCGGAAACTTATTTTAAAATGGGCTGGTTTAGTGATGAAGGATAATGGAAGTACTGATGAGTTAATAACAAGGCCGAAGAACTAATATATTATGATATATGTTGGCCGCTAGGTATTACTCCGTAGTAATTAATAACAATAATAATACACTGGGCTGGAAATACTATTATAACTGCATTGCTTCTAATATAGTTACGGACTGTTTAGACTGGTTCGAATATATGGACTGGCCGAAATTAACAGTAATTGGGATGATTATAGTAATGATGATAATACTAAATATAATTCTGATAATGTTAGAAATAATAATAATAATAATAAGAGTTCTGTTAAGTTATAAATTGATGATATTCACTTTTAAAGAACCTGTCACTTTTAAATCGGGATAATCAAATGGAGTAAGAAGATTATTATGGAAATAAATGAATAATCATAGAAGGATTAAAATCTAAAACTGGATAATAATTAGCAAGGTGGGATAGTTACTAATTAAAGAATGTTAATATTCTTAGAAGGTGATTTTTGTGAAGATTGAGGTAGAAGCTTCGTTTAGGATTTACCGCAATTTGAGGTAAGTACTATGTCAACCAAATTTCATGCTTTTCCCATATAAATATATTTGTGACTAGTTATTTGAGATCATTTGAGTATATGATAGTTAATGAGATTTTACGTATCAATTGTGATTGTGAATTATATATATTTGAGATTTGCGTATTTTATATTGGGTGATATTTTGAGCATTTGAATTTACATTTGAATTTACATATGAATTGTTATTTGATTGAGATTTGAAATTTGAGCTATTTATGAAGTATCCTATATTTTGGACTATTTATGGTATATTTGAGTATGATGAGTTGGAGTTAATAATTTTATTGTGAATAATTTTGTGGAATTCGGATTTCATATCCATTTTGATTGAGGTTATGATACTTGAACTTTGAGGTTGAATTATGATTTTGTGAGTACTCGGAGAAATGTGGATTTGGTGAGTGGTAATGACTATAAGTCTAATTCCACCAGAGATCTCCCAAAAGCGGAGCATCCCAGCTTAATTGTAGTAGTCGGTAGAAAAATCCCGACTACTCGGACTTTTTACTACCCGGAGAGCTTGGAATCTCTTTTAGGGGGTGTGCACACTTAAGGTAGGAGTTCGGCTTCCATTGAATTTGGTTGAGTTTGAATGATTGATCTTGAGATGATTTGGATTATTTGGTTGGACTTGATGGAGATGAATTGAATTACATTATATTGGATTATTTGAGTGAGTTATATTTGTTTGGATTGGATTGAATTTGATGTGGTTGAGATCATTAAATTATTTGTAGGTTTTCAAAGTAATACTTATTAATTTGATTTGATATGGTTACGTTGAATATTGATTATGAGTATTATTTGGAAGTATTTTGAGATGAATATTTGGGCTTTACATATGATTTATGTTTTGGAATATAATTACGAGGATTTTGGTGGTTTACGTATATTGACCTTTTAGAATTATTATGATTTGGAAATATGTACCTATTTTTGGAATATTATTATTTTACATGCGATTTTGTGATGAGAAGTTTGTATAAAATGTTTTATGAGGTTTCCTCCCAAATGTTTTCACAAAATGATATATATGTATCAAACATGATTATTTTACAGGGTTGGGTGGGCCTTACTTAGCATTTCCAGCTAATTTTTGTTTCTTTGTGTTTTTCTTTCTGTACTTTATTTGTGCAGGAATTGAGGATCATATTGAAGTTGATTTCGAGAGCTTCCGCTAGAACACATAGACTAAAGTGATCGAGTAATTTATTTTAGTCTTAATTTTAAAGAATTGTAGTTGAACAATTAAATATGGAAAATTTTAATTTGTTGGTGGTGGATAGCCTGTGCACCCGGTTATGTGAGAGCCGAGTGTGGCGGTAACGCCCCTGTTTCCCTTTAAATTTTCCGCTGCAAGACTCTGATGTTTTCGAATAAATCATTATTTACTTTGAATAAATCATTATTCAAATATATTTTTGGGTGGGAAATTTGGGGGTGTTACAAACCCGACCGGCCATGTACCAGTGGAGACTGGACAGGGCAGTCGAAGGACCTCTAGGGCATCTAGAGGAGCTGGCCGTGGAGGCCGATCACAGACCGTGAGTGACGGTCATGTCGACACGGAAAGTGAAACCTACTGGTCCTATGAGGACTCGACCTATCGACCGGAAACTGAACCGGTTGAGACCCCTTATGAAGGGGATGATGATGATGTAAGTGATGAGGAGGAAAATGGCTCCTTAGCACGGATTGAAGCACTACTTCAACAGTACCACCGTGAGCGTGAGGAGAGGAGGGAACGCCGAAGGCGCCGGGCTGGGCAGCCTTCGGGCGGGGCTTCAAGAGGGAGAAGCCATGGCGACTCTAGGGCCCACATTGAACCACATGGGGGTCGGGGTGATGGGGGTCCAATCATAAGGATCTCCAAATACATCAAAGAGGCACGAGACTTGGGGTGCAAACCGTTCGATGGGACGGGTGACATCTCCGTTTCGGCACAATGGATTAAACGGCTGAATGAGGCAGCCCTGGACATGCAACTCACCCCCGAATATAAACTAAGGGTTGCGGTGAGATTGCTTGAAGGTATGGCATCCAAGTGGTGGGATGGGACCAAAGGCAAATATGGCGAGACCGTCACTTGGGAGAATTTCCGACAGGAATTCTTTGCCCAATATTACTCGGATTTTGAGGTGAACAAGAAAGTGAGGGAATACACCCTTCTAACCCAAGGGGGTAACATGACGGTGAGGGAACTTGAGTACAAGTTCAGGGATCTTGCCGATTACATACCTGAGTATGCTTGTGACGAGAACCGGATGGTGAACCACTTCTGGGATGCTCTAGACTTGGAGATACGTGACAGGGCAACACAATTGCCTAACATGACGTTTGCCCAAGTGGTTGACCAAGGGTTGAAAGGAGAGAAGCAATGGGAAGAAAGGAAGAAGAGAGACGCCGAGGAGGCGAAAAAGAGAAAGTGGGAGAGTCATGGCTCCCAAGGTTCCAACAAAAAGGGGAACCACGGAGGAGGATCTTTCCGGGCACCACCGCCACCATATAGGGGGAACCAAGGCCCGAGTGGGCAAGGCGCGAGGTCACAAACCTCAGTGGTAGCTCGTTGCAACAATTGCAAGAAGAACCACTCCGGTAAATGTCGCGACCCCCCCTAGATGTTTTCAATGCGGGGATGCCGGGCATTTGAAGGCACATTGTCCACAATTGAGTGGGGCAAGGACATCGGGACCGAGTAGCGGTCTGACGGGTACACGGAATCAAACCGGGGCTTCTCAAGCAAGCCGGGGACACGGGGGGGCAAGTACAAGCAACGCGCCATCCGTGAACCAAGGGAGGACCCAGGCTAGGGTCTATGCGATGACGGAGGCGGATGCTCAAGCTAACCCGGACTCCGTCGCAGGTATTGCCTCTCATATACTAGTGTTTTATCCTTAATTAGTCCATAAATTGAGGATACTAATCGCTAGGATCATTGCACGAGGTTTTGGGGTCGAACCGGGGGATTTCGGGCAACTTCAGGCGGCTGGGACCCAGGCACGATCGTGCCTAAGGCAGACACGATCGTGCCTCCAAGTCAGTAGCTGCCCAGGAAAATTCCCAACCCAGGCACGATCGTGCCTAAGGCAGACACGATCGTGCCTACAAGGCAGTAGCTGCCCAGGTGTTTCTTCAAACCAGGCACGATCGTGCCTAATCCAGACACGATCGTGCCTCCAAATCAGTGGCTCCCCAGGATTTCCCAACCCAGGCACGATCGTGCCTAAGGCAGACACGATCGTGCCTCCAAGGCAGTGGCACCCTGGGCGTTTCCCCAAGCCAGGCACGATCGTGCCTACCCCAGGCACGCCGTGCCTGGCACCCAGATTGCCGAAACCCGATTTTTTCGCATCGTTTTGCGACGTCAAGGCCTCTTCTTGATCCCTAACGTACGTGTGAACATTGCAACCTTCTATAAATGAGTAGGGAGGGTAGGAAAGATGTCTTACATGGTTCATGAATGTAGGGATACTAAAGATTAACGGGAAGGATGCACGAATCCTTATCGATACCGGAGCACAACGTTCATTCGTGAGTGAGGCGTTTGCCGAGAGCTTAGAGATGCAATCAATACCAATGACACAAACCTTAGTGGTATCAACCCCACTAGGGGAAGACGTTGAAAGAAACAATTACTATCCATCTTGTATGGTGGAAATCGGTGGCCAAACCTTGACGTGTGATTTCGTACCGCTGAGTATGATGGAGTTCGATGCAATCCTAGGGATGGATTGGCTAGAAAAGCATCATGCTAGGGTAGATTGCTACACAAAGGTGTTGGAACTCGAAGGCACACAGGGGGACACCCTACGCTTCGAGGGGGACCGCGGCAAATCAAATAGTTGTATCATATCCGCCGTGAGAGCGAGAAATATGATGAGGAAGGGATGCCACGCATATCTAGCATACGCGGTTGACAAAACCAAAGAGGAAACGAACGTCGATGATGTGAGGGTGGTTTGTAAGTATCCGGATGTCTTCCCTAAAGACCTACCGGGGCTTCCACCTGACAGAGAGATTGAATTTGTGATCGAGGTCGAGCCTGGTACCAAACCAATCTCCATACCGCCATACCGGATGGCACCCGCTGAACTTAACGAGTTGAAAACCCAATTGCAAGAGCTTTTGAATAACGGTTTCATTAGACCAAGCCACTCCCCGTGGGGAGCACCGGTTCTTTTTGTGAAAAAGAAAGATGGGACACTTCGAATGTGCATTGACTATCGTCAACTGAACAAGGTCACAATCAAGAATAGGTATCCGTTGCCTAGGATTGATGACTTGTTTGATCAACTACGAGGAGCAACCGTGTTTTCGAAGATTGACTTGAGGTCGGGGTACCATCAATTGAAGATTAAGGAAGATGACATACCAAAGAGTGCTTTCCGCACGAGGTATGGGCATTTTGAGTTCCTTGTTATGTCGTTTGGGTTAACAAACGCCCCGGCGGCATTCATGGACTTGATGAACCGAGTATTCCATAAATACTTGGATCGATTCGTGATTGTGTTCATAGATGACATCTTGATTTACTCAAAGAGTGAAGAAGAGCATGAGGAGCACTTGATACTTGTTCTTGGAACACTACGGGAGAAGCAACTCTATGCCAAATTTTCTAAATGTGAATTTTGGCTAAAGGAGATTGGCTTCCTCGGGCACGTGGTTTCGGGATCGGGGATTGCTGTTGATAACAAGAAGATAGAAGCCATTACTGAATGGGAGAGGCCAAAGAACGTCAAGGAAATTCGTAGTTTCCTTGGATTGGCAGGCTACTATAGAAAGTTCGTGGAGAAGTTCTCTGTTTTGGCATCGCCATTGACGAAGCTCACTCGTAAAGGAGCTAAGTTTGTATGGGATGACAAATGTGAGAAAGGGTTCATGGAACTAAAGAAGAGATTGACTGAGGCACCGGTACTTGCATTACCCAAACAAGGTGTGGGGTACGATGTCTATAGCGATGCGAGCATCCAAGGGCTCGGATGTGTACTGATGCAGAATGGGAGGGTAATCGCCTATGCTTCACGACAATTGAAGAAGCATGAGGTGAATTATCCTACTCATGATTTGGAGCTCGGGGCAGTGGTATTTGCACTGAAGATATGGAGACATTATCTCTACGGGGAGACATGTCACATATACACTGATCACAAGAGCTTGAAGTACGTGTTTACTCAGAAAGAGCTAAACATGAGACAGAGACGGTGGATGGAGCTGATAAAAGACTACCATCTAGTGATAGAGTATCACCCAGGCAAGGCAAACGTGGTGGCAGATGCTTTGAGCCGGAAGAGCTCGTCTGGGGCATTGATAACTAATTTGAGGGCATTAAGAGCCCAACTGGAGGTAACCAGCGATGGTGCCTTATTGGCATGATTTGAGGTGAGACCCACTTTACTTGATGAGATCAAGAAGGGTCAGGAAGCCGACGAAGAACTTATGAAGGTCCGGGAACGCATGCAAGCGGGGCCGGTGGAGGATTTCAGGGAAAGAGATGATGGTCTCTTGTTATTTCGTGACCGAGTGTGTGTACCGTCAGATGATGAGCTCCGAAAGTCCATCTTAGAGGAGGCTCATTCATCGGCTTATGCCATGCACCCGGGGGGCACGAAAATGTACCGTGATTTGAAGGAAAGTTACTGGTGGTCTGGAATGAAGAGGGAAATAGCCGAGTACATCAGTCGGTGCCTTACTTGTCAACAAGTTAAGGCAGAACATCAGCACCCAGCAGGCTTATTGCAACCACTCTCCATCCCTGAATGGAAGTGGGAGCACGTGACTATGGATTTCGTGGTAGGCTTACCACGGACTATCAGGAACTATGACGCGGTTTGGGTCGTTGTGGATAGGCTCACAAAGAGTGCACACTTCTTGCCTATCAACACTACCTACCCACTTGAGAGGTTAGCCAAATTGTATACGGATGAGATCGTGAGGCTGCATGGGGTCCCGGTGACCATTGTATCTGATAGAGACCCACGATTCACATCACGTTTTTGGCCGAAATTCCAGGAGTCTATGGGAACGAAATTGAAGTTCAGCACTGCTTTCCATCCACAGACGGATGGGCAGTCTGAAAGGGTTATACAGATCCTAGAAGACATGCTGAGGGCTTGTGCATTGGAGTTCCAGGGGAGTTGGGACAACCACTTAGCACTTGTGGAGTTTGCCTATAACAACAGTTATCAGGCAAGCATCGGCATGCCTCCATACGAGGCATTGTATGGGAGGAGGTGCCGTACACCGTTATGCTGGGACGAGGTTGGCATGGCCAAACTCGAGGGTACTGAGTTGGTGGAGGTCACCAAATCAAAGGTGAAGTTAATTCGAGAGAGACTCAAGGCGGCTCAGGATAGACAAAAGAGTTATGCAGATAAGCGTCGAAGAACCTTAGAGTTTAAGGTTG